CATAAGCTAAACTCACCAATATTTTAATGGATACTTTTCCCTATCTTTGACTATCCCCTCTGCCTACAAATATACTCAAGGTAAGGTCTCTCTAAGGACACTTCAAACTAAACCAAGGCAAWATCCTGGATGCTCTTTCTCTGCAGTCTCTCACCTCCACCACGAGCCACCTTCTGCACCACGGMGGAGCGAGTCCCTATGGAAGGGAGCCCAGGGAAGCAGCTCCCACACCTTYTCCCCTTCCCTTTTACTTGTAATAGGGAACTCACTCATCGTTTGCAGATTTCTATGCAGGCATAAAGTGAGTTTTGTATGATCTAGARCAAGGAAGCAAGAACATGCTGAAACACATTTTATTTTTGGAACAATCAAACTTGCTCATCATTTAACCTTGCCCTGATCGTGTTGATGAAGAACCAAGAGAGGTCGCGAGGCAGAAATCTGTTCACCCTCACAGACTGATGCGTCGTCTGGTTCATATAAACGAGACATCCATTTTTAAATCTCTTAGTTACATTTGCATTCCATAAAAACCTACCAAGTTTTAGCATCGCTGTATAATAGGCTATTTCTAAAAACAACGACATACTGCATGCATCTTAAATTGCTATTAACAAGAACACATACTCAAGTCAGCTCTTTTTGGCCCAGCTCCTTGTACTAAGGAAGGACGGAGAGCTGCTCCTTAGGCAGCTACTGTGAGTCTGTGCTGGCTCTGCAAAGCCAAGCGCGTGTGCAGCTTTGGTAAGAGAGGTCCTGCTGAAATATTCCACAGCAGGCAGTGGAATTTTCTGCATTTACTTCATTTGGGCAACACTTCCCACCATTTGTGACTGGCTTCTACTCTCACATTGGCTAGAAATACATACGCTGACCTAAGTTTGATTCATTTTCATTACCTTTTATTCTGTTAGGATAAGTAAGATGCACAGAACGGGGTTTATTAGAAAACATGTATAAATAYGTTCAGTTATATGAAGTAAGTGCTAATGGGCTTGCCACCCTACACAGTGTTTCCCCCAGCTTACTTCTTGGAGTGCTTCTTTTTGTCTTTTACATCCTTCTGCAATAAACTGTAAAGATGAAAACGAGTCTACTGTGGTTTCAAATTAATGTATCCTGTGAAGCTGTTTTTCAAAAACACTGCAAAAATCTCTTCAGAACATGATGCTAACACTACAGATTTGCTGGGAGAGAGGGGAGAAGGACAGAAAAAATATGCTTTAAAATCATCTCAGAATCAAACTAGCACTTCTCCAACTAGAATACCGTAAAAGAGAAAATAGATTATTTTCCTGTTACAGGTATAGAGCCAAGAGACTGAAAAATTCCCATTTCTTGGGTACCTGGAGAAGATTTTTTAATTTTTTTCATTTCTTAATGTGGGGTTTTAGGCAGTTCAATGCATTCATTCCTGTATTACCCAACCAAACATATACATCATTCTGAGAAGCCAAGGAGYAGTTTGAGGCAATTCAGCTCCTTGATGCATTTTCAGAGGCACAAAGCAAGCACATGTACAGAAACACACTTGCATATACCACGAAGGCAGGAGGCTTTGCTGGAAGTGGTCCCAGGGGTAAGACTCAGCTCATGGAAACGTAAAGCTGAATTCCATCCAAAGAACTCACTGTGCACTACTAGGATAAATATTTGTATCAGTTTACAAGCAATGACTGTCTCGAAGCCACTGCAAAACAGCAGAATATAAAAAGTGTCATTTAGGGGCTTGCATGAGCTTTGAAGCGCTGACGTGACTGCACACACCCAACTACAGGATTCCCCTCCTCTCCTGCTCAGCAAGTTTTATTAGAGATTCCCAAAGGTTCAGAATGGAGGTTACTGAACTGCATCATGTCCTCCAGGGAGCCTCCAGCCTCAGCTGCATTTTGGCAACCCAGCGCTCTTGGGAGCTCCCCCTCCACTTCAAGCAACGACCGAACTGCTAACAAGAGGCAACCTAATGTAAACGGTTGTTCATAGAGGCACCAGCGTTAGATAAAAATTGTTGCATTCACACTGAAAAGCAGTCTTTTTTTTTCTCCACAGAATGAGTTAGCATCCCAAAATGCAGAAGATATTCAAACATGAAATTGTTGCATAAGCCAGAAAGCAAACTCTTAAGCTGTYGGTCTACAAAATACCAATAAAAGGCAGGTACTTTATTAACAGGCAAAGTTAGTTTCAAACCTCCAAAAGGGACTCTTTTGTACACACACATTACAAAGCATTTTATTCATCCACCCCCTATCGCCTTCTCCTCTATAATCAAATTGCAATCTCCATTCATTACCAATCCTACACACATTTCAAGAGAGTACACGCATTTCAATGACCACGCTCAAATGGCTCTCAAAAATTCCAGCTCATTTAAGGAGCTGACAGGTTTTTGCAGACAGAGTCACAGACCCACAGGATGGTTGAGGTTGGAAGGGACCTCTAGAGACCATCYAGTCCARCCCCCTGCTCCAGCAGGGACACCCAGAGCACGGGGCACAGGGCGGCATCCAGGCGGGTTTGGAGACCTCCAGAGAAGGAGACTCCACAGCCTCCCTGGGCAGCCTGTGCCAGGGYTCTGGCACCCTCWCAGGGAAGAAGTTCCTCCTCACATGGAGMTGGAACTGCCTGTGTTTCAACTTACACCCATTGCCCCTTGTCCTATCTCTGCTCCAAATTCTCCAATTTTCTTTTGGAGAATTAACTTCTTACAGTCAGGATAAGATAGTTGCATCAGCAGCCTTCTGTTTTGCTATCAAGATACTGTTTGGAAAAAATAGGTAGAGAAACCCATGTTCTGCAGAACATGAATATTAATTAATTTGGAAGAAATACTTTGATTCATTTAGAAATATCTGATATTACGTGAAGTCTTTGAGATCAAAMCTAGGTATTTCTTTACGCATCCTTAAGTAACACATTGCTTGTATAAAAATTGTGCAAAGGAAGTATTTAACCATTATAATCCCAAACATCAACACACGACTGCACACAGGCAAAGGAAATCACCATGTCTTTATCTGATGATATATGATCGATGCCTTGAACACCTCAAAGAGTTCAAGAACTTAAAAAAGACAATACAATTAAACAAAACAAACACAGCCACAGGCACGCAGCTGCTGCACAAGCCACTGTTACCCCCACACAAGGCAGTTCAACACTAGAGCAGTTAAAGGWCTCAAAAAATACAGAGACAAGCTCAGTGACAAGCCAGGGTAGCCAGYGCACGGAGCATCAGCGGCCCATGCCGGAGTTTCCAACCTCTGCCATAAATAAGAATTACAGCTCAACTCATTACTGGCTATATACCGTGCACATATCCTCTTAAACTTCTACTCAGGTATTCCCAGGCCCAAAATACACGAGGTTCAAATACAAAAGCACAAAGAATTTTTGCTAATACAGAAATCATTAGTTACAGRAATGGCAGAATTGCTTCTGGGAACAGACTGTTGCTGGTCAGGGCAACATAATGATAATCAGATTTCTGAAAATGCACAGCTTACAGAGTAAAGGCTACTACATTTATTTTAATAATGTAACCTGGCTGATGCCAAAAGGTTTCCCAGTTAATCCTCTCCCACTTACACTACTGTGTCACCACTTAGATAAATTAAGGTAGCAATCTCTACTCAATTCTGTGAATTTTGGGKTTTTTTTTGCTCTTTACACTTCATCTGCTGAGTTCCTGAAAGAGTAAAGAATACAATAACACTAATGTAAAAAAAGCTTTCCTATAATTTAATGTTCCCTAGCTGTTGGAGAAGAATTATATAAACCCTCATCATGGTACCAAAAATAATTTATTAGCTTTCCATATTAAGAAATATGAATCCTTTTCCATCCTCTCTACATTTTAACGGCAGAGAACTTCTACTGTAGCAGTAGAGACACTACAACTGAATTTTTTAACTTGTGAGCTAGCTCTTCAGGTCTTCCAAACACTAAGTAGTAGCTGGGCGAGTCACTTAACAGAGCTGGCATTGTAAAAGGAGGATATGATATGCAGGATAAAAAAAAAAAGCATCAGGATGAGATTTAAGCATGTTATCATAGGAAGTAGATAATGAAGTTGATGGCAGGGCTCAGCTATACAAGTCACAGCTTCACAGCTAACATGGGGTCCTGTAATGATTTAAAGYTGTTGTTTTTTCTTCTTTTTTTCTTTTTTTTTTCCCTGCCAACATTTCTGTAGTCACTTACCCTCTCTGACATTCAAAAGAATAGGTCAAAATCAGAGTGCTATTTSTTCTTAAATACTCTGGAATGATTTATTCAAGATACAACTGAGGCTTTTTTTCCTGATGAATATTTCTGCCTGGATATTAAAAATGCAGATCTGTTCGTGTTATGCCTTTGGCTTTTGTTAAGGCTCTGCTATTCAATTCCTCAGCTTAAAGAAATAAATCTGCAATAACCAGGGAGAATACATCTCCTTCTCCAACATCCAATACTACACAAGGGAACACAGCTTTGGTCCTGTAAATACCTGCTCATTTTCCTCATTTGGAAATTCARTTAAAATCTCCTAGGATGGTCAGAATCTATGTTCCTTTCAAATTAGATTACAGTTGAAGTAGTTTTTTCCTATTTATTCCCTTTTTCCTGCTACCACAGCCTTCAGCACTGTAACGAGGGTGCAGCTGCTTCCATGATGGGCTCTCACTCTCCCCTTGCCAGCTAATCCCATTTCAAGCATTTCTAGGAGCTGGCTCTGCCACCATCAGCAACTGTGCAATGCAAGGTGCTTGAATGAAGGACCTATTTTTAGCAGGGTCAAATAAGACAAAACATCTAATCAACCATTTGCACTTTGGCTRAAACACATGGTAACGTTCAGAGCAAAGCCAAGAAAGAGAGCATCTGCTGATTTTGAAACACTCTCAATTAAGTAATTTAGCCCGTCATTTGTAATAACTTTCATATCCCACAATCTCTATAATTAAAAAGACATCTTTAAAGATGTGCAAGCCGTAAGCATAAAAGGCATAAAATCCAACCTTTGATCCGTAGAGATACTGGGGCTGTGCATTGGGCTGCTTGTCTCTCTGAAACTCCTGAGAAAAGGGTAGCACAGTTCGAACAAATCTATAAAAACAAAAGAAAGAATTAATGAATTTGGTCATTAGGCATGCACCTAATGCATCTAACCAGATATAACACTCYGTTTGTCAGCATATTAAAAAATTAAAAGGGTTCCAAGTATTTCTCATCTTGAGCCTAGGTCTGCCCAGCAAAAGGAGAAAAAAACAACAAAACCRTCATAGTAGCGTGTCAGGGAGAGGAAGGAAGTTCCTTGACCTTCCAAACTTAAATCCTTAAAGGATCCTTAAGGATGAACTACACCTACAACGAAGAACGTGATTTCCCCACTTAAGGTTGTTTTAAGAAGAAGCTCACAACCGGATATTCCTTCAGGCTAATTCCTGAACATATTTATCACGAAGGGTATAGTTCTGCTACCAAAAGCAGCCTTTGCAAAATCTCACCACGCTTCAGGGGGAACACGTACCACCACACAGCGTGTTTAGTGAACAGCTCTGTATTTGTGTAGTGTCAGAGACAGGAGGACATGAGAACTGCAGAGCTACGCAGCCCTGCAAAGGACAGGATCAAACAGCCCTCTCCACACCGAGTGCCCTGAGAGCCTGCAAAACAGTGTCTGAGTAAAACTTTGCACGTTTGGGTATTGTAATGAACAGGGTGTACTGACCTGGTCCTCTCATATTGCTTGCTATTTTTGTATAATTTACATTTCACCCAAACATGTAAAAATTGCACCGAAGTTACAGCTGTTAACAATTGCGCCCACTGGACTTCAAGTTCTATTTCTGAGCAATATGAATCATTCTTGGGAGATTTTATAGTTTCAGGAGAATATTTTCTGTATTTGTTTAATCTGCTCAGGAATARATATACCAACAGTTTTAGCTGTCATTTATACAGTATTTTATCCCTGTCTTCAAGATAATTTGTTGTTCTTATTTTTAGTCAGTGCTGATGAACTTGCAGCAATTTATCCACTGTAATCAAATATGCATTACAAAGACRAGGCAGATGCAAAGCTCAGTAAGGCAGCAGGCTTTTCAACAGCGATTGCTAGAGCATGACACTAGCACCCCMAAAAAAGGCATTTTGGGGATCAGATCAAAATTTGATGGATTTGCTGCAATGGCTGCCAGAAAGGAGCAGAGAAGCAGAGAATGGTTGGAAGACCATTCTTCCTGTTGGAAGACACCSCTGGAGATCATCTTGTCCAACCCCCCTGCTCAAGCAGGGCCACCTACAACATGCTGCACAGAACTGCATCCCAGTGGGTTCTGAACATCTCTAAGGATGAGGATATCACAACGTCTCTTGGCGACCTGTTCCAGTGCTCTGTCACTATATGAGGAAGTTTTCCTCATATTCAGGCAGAATTTCCTGTGCTTCAGTTYGTGCCTGTTGCCTCTTGTCCTGTCACTGGGCTCCACTGAAAATAACGTGGTCCCATCCTCTTGATGCCCTCCCCTAGGTATTCGTGCACAACGGTAAGATCACCTCCCGTCTTCTCTAGGCTGAACGCTCCCAGCTCCCTCAAACCTTCGTCGTAGGAGAGATGCTGCAGTCCCTTAAGGACCTGAGTGGCCCTTCACTGCACTGAACTGTCAGTCTCACGCTGGATGCATGGATGCTCAGAACTGGATGCAGCAATTGCCATCAGCCTCAGCAAGGCAAGGCTCATCCCCCCCACACTTCCCCACGCACCCCAGGGTGCCACTGGCCACACTGCTGCCTCATGGCCTGCAGTGCACCCAGCCTCCCCGGTCCTTCCCTGCAGAGCTGCTCTCCAGCAGGTCAACCCCTAATCTGTCCTGGTGCCTGGGGTTATTCCTCCCCAGGAGCAGGACCCTGCACTTGTCCTTGTTGAACCTCATGAGGCTCCTCTCTGCCCARCTCTCCAGCCTGTCCAGGTCCCTGTGGATGGCAGCACAGCCCTCCTGTGTGAGGTGACCCCCCTCAGCCTCTCCTCCTGGTTTGGTATCATCATCAAGCTTGCTGGGGGTGCATCTCTGAACAGGACTGGACCCAGTATCAACCCCCGGGGGCACTACCAACCACAGGCCTCCAACTAGACTTTGTACCAGTGATCACAACCCTTGAGCTCTGCCCTTCAGCCCGTTCTCAAGCCACCTCACTGTCCTCTCACCGAGCCCATGGCTCATCAGCTTTGCCTAYGAGGATGGTGTGGGAGATGGTGCCAAAAGCCTTCCTGAGGTCGAGGCAGACACCAGGCACTGCTCCCCGCTCAYGCACCCAGCAGCCATTCCAGCACAGAAAGCAGGCAGGTAGGTTAAGCACAGCTTCCCCTTTGCAAATCCACGCCAGCTAGTCCTGGCCACCTTCCTGTTCTTCACAGCAGAAAGGCATTTCAAAGGGATTATACGGCATTTAGGAGAGTGCTACGCACATGGATTTTTTGCAGAGCACACCGCTTTGGACGGTGTRTTGAGGGCAGATAAAGCTGCCAGGCTGGACGCTGTCCCGTGCAGCTTGTGCTGTTTGCTCCAAGGAAGCAGAGCAGCATCTGCCCGGGGCCTCCTCCTCATCCCCTGGTGCCCGTTCCGCAAACCGTCTCAGCCGGCAGCGCCGGACGCGGCGGCACAGCCGGCCAYGGCTTGTGAGGCAGAGCCTCAGAAAAGGAGCCACTGCAATTACCAAATTGCTAAATCCACTGTCAACAGCGGCCTCGTTCCTCGTTTAATCTCAGCACATTAGCAGCTACGAAAACAAGTGACTGAGTCCCAAAATAATTCAACACCCAGCACGCTACAGTACTTCTGTGTGGAAAAAAAAAAGCCAGCCTCTGAACCAAACCTGAAGGCTTTGTACACGCCTGAACTCTCTACACATGTTTGAAATCTTCCAGTTCAAGCATGCCTGCGGAATAGAAAGCTTCCTCAGCTGAGGCAACAAAAACATTAACTTTAAAGGAATGACCAATCCACATGGGCTCCAGATAAATGTAAAAATAAATAAATAAAGCTGGACTGTAACCCATGCCTCTGCTTTCCAGCCTTTCTCTTTGCCCCCCCTGTAGCAGCTCCTTGAGCAGCCTGCCCAAGGCAGCAGGCTGCATAACAGGCGAGCCTCCGGGAGCCTCTTCCCTCTTCCAGGCAAAACGCCCCCGGGCACCAGGCGGAGGCTGCCACGTGGCCGTGCAAACTCCCTGACAGAGCACGTCAGGCACCAACGTCGCCCCAGACCGGCCGCCCTTCGTCCTCTCTTCAATTAARTGCCCTGAATTAACAACCCCACCAGCCTGGGAAGGGCCCAGCTCGACGCTGGGAGCAGCACCATGACACCGCCTCGATACCTGCTGAACACCCTTCCTTGAAGCTGCCACGGGAACTGCCAGGATTTGATCAAGATTCTTCTTCTAATGTTACGACTAGGTGATTTGTAACACCTTGTTGGGAATACTCAATGTGCAGAGGGGCTTCCTCAAAAGCGTATGAGTATCCTGTGCAGACAGATTCTGGYAACAAAAGCTGTTGTGGCCAAGTTCTTGCTCAGAAAGTCATCTTTTCTGCAGACAGAATTGGAGATCTAAAACGTTACACAGCCAGCAGAGCTTACATGAGAGAAGAGGAGCTGTCCAAGCAGACAGGGAAAGGTAAGGACATGGTTCCTCCTCCTCCCCTGTCCAATATTCAATACCACTTCACTGTCACTTCACCAAAATCCATGCAAAAACTGATCGTAACATAAACCCTCAAAACGGAACACAAAGCAGCAAGTCCAGAAATATAAAGTGCAAAGTACTGCACCTTCCACTGGTTCAAATGTTAGATTCTCACTCTCTTCTATTTCCATCATTCTCYCTCCATTAGCACAACAGCAGGAATGAAGGATCCCTAGAACAAATGAAGGGCTCCACAACAAAACTCTTTCTGCTGACCTGATCTATCTTCCTGCCACCACCAGCTGAATAAAACAAGCAAAGCTTTAGAATGAAGAGACAAAGTTCTAAACACAGCACTAATATCTGAGGAAATATATGGCCTAAAATATGTTTCTGGCTGCACTGAATGATCACTGCAGATTTATGAGTCCTCTCTGTGCCTAAAAGGAAGGGACATGCTTTGAAGTCACCCGTGCCTTTCCCTAGCTGATGAAGGCTCAGTTCTGTCTAGTTATAGGTGTGGCAGAACCAGAAGGTCTAGAGATGTAAAAGACAGCAGTAATGCAAATAAAAACCCTATTCAGCACACACAGACCTCTTCCCTTACCCAGGAAGCYGTCCTTTTTCTTCACATCAACACAGAACCAAGGGAAATGTARTTTCATTTCCATCAGCTCACAGCTGAACACCTTGCTTGCTAATACTTGTTTACTTCCTAACACCCACTTAGCAATGTTTTTGGACACGCTTTGTTTTCCAGCCCATCACAGCTATGACATTAAAATATCCTAACATTCTGATGACGAGGTTACATTGGACTTCTACTGTAGAAAAAAAACAGGCTTTCATGCACTTGACAGGACTTAGTAAATTGACTCATTCTTCCTTGTTTCAAGCAAAGCCTAAGAAGTGAAATGATCTCCACTGAATCTCAGCTGAAGTGAAATCATCTCCAAATGTGTGGAGATGACCTTGGCCAGGGTTTGCTAGGAAAGAAGCTGCAGGAAAGTCGGAGAACAGATGCCGATCAACGGCTGCCAGGCTAACCTGTTCGTGGATCCGTTGTAGCAGTAGTTTGGAAGGAAATCATAATTGAGCTCCCAGAAGACGTGAAGGGTGATTCTTCCATATGGGGCTGACACGTTGTGATTAGCTTCTCTGAACATGGCATCAAAGCTGTCCAAGGTCATGTACCTACTCAGAAGCTTGTGAGTCATTTTGTTTACTTCTATCAAGCCATCCAGTTCCTACAGAGCAAACAAACAAACAAACCAAACAGTGCATTTCACACAGTGGAGAACCAAGAGGCAGTACATAAATACCCTGTCCACTTCTAACTCGAGGAAGAGTGAGAAACTATGACCCGAACTACACATCATCAGTGATTTCTGTGCACTTAGCTACATATAGGAATACTGTGCACATTACAAAGAAAAACTACATTTAAATACTTCCAAGACAAAMACCAAGCACTGAGGAGTTCTGAAGATCCAGATCCCTGCCCAGCTCTCCAGGTCACTATTTGTTTTATGTTCCATAAAGAATGAAATCAACACGGACACTTAGAGTAGCTACTGCATTACAAAATCTCACAGGTGAAAGACATGCCAGAGTAGCAACAATRGTTGAAGTTCCTGCTCAATTTTTGCTTTTTTTCACTCACACYGAACAGAATGACTCTGTCCTTCTTGATTGCCTATTTATTTGTCGAATATATGCTGCCTGGAAACAAAATGTTACCATTTTAATCAGGGAACTAATTCCAAAAGACAGGCTGGCATTGCACAGATGCTCTCCCTCCACAGGTGTGAGTCAGATCTCATTTCTTTACAAAAGAAAAGTCATTATTTTGTCAGTTCTGGAAAACCACGCAGCTTGGTTAAATAAACTCATTTAATTCTGCCAGACATAGGGCTTGTTTTGGTCCTTAACTTAAATATAAAACCCCAAGTAMAAGTTGGCTTAAAAATATATATATAAATCACCCCAGAATCAATAAAGCCCATAGCAATGGGCTTGCCATTACAATGGCAAGGCAGGATTTGCCACTATAATTTACAGAGTGGTTGGAGCTGGATAACTACACTTCAGAGGAATTCCTTTTGCCAGAATTAGCTGCCTCTCCAGTAAGGGATTTGGTCAGTCTAGACTTAGTAAATGAGACAAACTTCAACCAGATTACTTGATTTCACACTTAAGAAAAAATAAAAAGCAAAGAGAAGGTTTTGGAGTTGTGGGGTTTTTTTTTTTTGTGTGTGTGTGTGTGTGTGTGTGTGTGTGTGTGTGTTTAATTTTTGTTTATTTAAATTTAAGCCATCTTCTAAATTCTATTCCATTTGTATATTTAACTAAGCCTTGGAACAAAACAAATTGCAAATGGGCACATTAGTCATTCAGTCTTATCTCCCTTCAGAAGAAGGGAATGACTCTGCAACTATTCACTTAGGGAATAGCTGTAGAGTGTAGAAAAAAACTGATAAAACTTGCTTGCTTCTATTAAAAATGAATATAGCTTTATAGGGTGAAACGACAAGCCCAGGTGTCAGTCAGCCTGGAAAACCAGTCTGGAAAACCAGGAAAACCAAACCTTGCAGCCAAATAAAGGGGAGGTGGCCCTGCAGAGCCCCACCTTTGCGGGCGGCTCTCTGGGAGAGCAGCAGCAGCAGACTCACCACAATGGATGTCAAATCCTCGCTCTCAAAGCGGCCGATTGCCAGTTCCATGGATCGATACATGGCTGCGGAAATGCGCTGCGTGATTAGCCGGTTCAGGTCTATCGACCTGCCAAGAAGCTGAAGGAAAACATTTATGAAGGTTCGGATGGCAAGGTGTGAGGCTAGCTGTGTAAAAACTGCAACATCTCACATGCCAATAGGCTCACGCATGGAGAAATGGCATTCCAAGCATATAGGAGCAGAGCAGCTGGATAAAATCTCCATATCCACAATCAAATAAGGTACTATATTTTACATTCCAATCATTACCAAARGGAAGTAGTAAAATCACATGTTGCATTTACATCTAATTACTTCTATCAGCATTTTATGCTTCTCTGGCACTGTGCTGACAACTTTTTAAATCACCATTTAAAAAAAAATAGATAAAAATAAATCATCAGAGAGACATTAGTACCACACGTGACATTCCTATTTGGCTTGTGCTTGCTGAGCTGCAAAAGATACTCATGTGCATTACAATAGGATCTTTCCAACTTGTTAATTTACTCTTTGATAAGACAAAAGAAAAAGTCTATCCCAAATTTCAAATATGCTGCTTAGATGACAGGCCATAAAGAATACAAACTGCCTGGCATATTTACACAAAGCAACAAAAAGCTGCAAAGCACCTCAAGYGCAAGAGGAACGCGAAGCTCTCACCTGCACATGCCTCTGTTTGAGCAGCGTTTCGTAGCGGTTGGACTGCAGCAGCTGAATGGTCGCTCCCTGGTTCTTGCACTCCGAACGCAACCGTTTATCCAGGAGCAGGCTGGTAAGAGAGGAGAAAGGTGCTTAAATCACATTACACAGCAAACAGGAGAAGAAATGCACAAATAAGAGTTCTCGCTGTAGGAGGAGCTACCTGCCAGCCATTGCCTTGTAGTACGCAAATATTTGGTCCGCCAGCTTGTAGACAAATTGATCAAAACACAGGTTYACCTTGGGGAAGAAAAGAAGGTGTTTATAGCTACTGAACACTAAAAGAGGGGAGCTGCTTGAAGGTTTCTATTAGCAAAAATAGYTCAGCAAGTTAACACATGCACATTTTCCAGACCCTCACAAGGGATCATGACATTCAATCTTCAGCACTGGTGTAAGGGAGTTCACGCAGATCTACCCATTTCCTCACAATGTACCACCTAGAGTTGCCAGCCTTTTGTTTTTCCTCTCATTTTTATTCATAATCACCAGGTGCTCTGCATCTCTCCTAATAAGTCTTTGACTTGAGCATGGTTCTCRCATTCAAGGACAGACTACTTTTCCTCCAGGAGGGAAGGTTACTTTACCTCTGCTTCAATCTCATCATACAGGAACTGCTTCTTAAACTTGGTAAGAGCGTAATGAGCACTGTCATTGTAAAGGTCCAAAGAATACAGAACATACCTGAATAAAAAAGAATAAAAGGGGTTACTTATCCATAGAAATCACAGTTTTTCAAGCTGCTGTGGTCAACAAATTGTGAGTTTGGCAATATTGTGAGCTACACGTTTCATGTAAACAAGCTCTTTTTTGGTTTGGGTTTGTAAAGAGGAATAACTCTGGTTCCTTTAGAAAAGTCTTTTGTTAGTTCATGAATCTGTGTAGATAATTTGTACCCTGAACCTTGTTTTCCAGCTGTAGCTTTCCACCAACATGGAAATAGGCCTTGCTTCCATGGATTATATTTGATACCTTTGTCAGCAAGGAGGTGCACTGAGAAACAAACCTAGAAGAACTGATCCAAGGAACAACCTATGTGGCTGGTGCAGTGACACTAACAGGAAAGGCCGGAGAATTCTTGGAATCAGCAAACCTCAGTTTAGAAGCCTCACAGTGACTGCTTGTTCAAACCAACTAAAGCAGCAACATTATAAAGTGGAGTGAATTCAGAATATTTGTTCAGTAGGTCTCTTACTCCATCATTGATGCCTCTTTGGTCTCCAAAATATGGTCCGTCAGAATCCAAGGCATGGACATCTCAATGGGAAACTGGATTCTTCTGCCCATGGTCAGCTCTAAGAAGAATTCCCTGAACCACAGCTGAGACAGATCACAGCACTGCTGCAAGGTTTCTTTCCGAAAAAAMATAAAGCAGAATTACACTTCTTGAAGAGGCACGTTAAGAAAAATACATTTGTGATTTTGATGATGCAATGGGAAACAAAAAAAGCGGGTGGGAATCACTAGAGCTATAGCTAGAGCTATACATAGGCCACATGTGTGAGCCAAATTCGAAATGTAAACCCATGAGATTTTTCAACTCATCCTGAACTCCATGTTGGCCCCCAGAGTGGTGCCTTGTTACAGAAAATACTGTCTAAGAGGAAGAGATCACCCATTACATGTAAAGAAAGCTGCAAACACCATCACGGGGGGACTTCTAGCTTAGTTTCTCATTTGGAGCTGTGAAAGCTGCACATGGAGCTTGTGAGGTAGCAAGCCAGGGACACAAGATTTACTTGTGCCATCAGTATATCYGTCCTTCAGGAGAGGACTGAATCACTCCCCACATTCCTGTTGATTGGATGGGAAGGAAACGAGGATAGAGATTCATGAAGACAGGGCTGGAACAAGACATTTCTAGGGGCACTACCAAGGATGCAGGAATGTTCTTCCCATCTCTCGAGTAAACACTGGACTCAATCCTCCTTTTGCAGAAGGCTTGAGAATCAGAACAGGAATGAGCTTCTTGCATTAAGCTCGTCCCAAAATCAAAGCGCTGTTCACAAGCGTCATTGTAACTGAAATTAAAAGGCTCCCCCTTCTTTGAGGCTATAGGGGTCCAGTAATCAAACAAAAATGCAAGACAACACAGCATGGTGATGACAAGGACTAGACACATTCAATGTCAGTAGGTGAATTCTTTAGGACGGCATGTTTCCGATTACAATTAACCCAATAGTAAGAGCAGTGAAATGACATCAAATTTATCACAACAGAGAATTTGTTTCCTCTGTACTTAAA